GAAGTATCTATCCATAAATTGTCTTATTTATCTATAACCTGTGCTTCTAATATGCCTTTGAAAGATTATTCGTGTATTTTGGTTATTGCTATTGATATTTACAAAGATTTGGAGGAGAAACTACATATATAGGATATGAAACTTGTAAATTGTTGATCGATAGTTTTTATGCATTGGGATGTTCTTTAATATGAGAAAATGTGTTATCACTAGGTCATGGACTGTGCCTCTCAAATGTGCATTAAAACGACTTTTTGTAGCACAAGCGGAGATTACTTTTTCTCATCTGGAATCTATTCCTTTATGTTATAGCTAACTAAATACCCATGTTCCCACTTTCAAAAAGTGCCACAACTCCATATTTCAGCTTTTAAAGATGCGCATTTTGATTTGATCTAGAACTTTAATGATATATGAAAAATATTTTTATCATTTCAAATGTATAGGGGAGTATGTTATCTTAACTGGCAAGCTAACATTTAAATCCCTATTGGGTATTTTTTCCGAGCAGAAATTCTCACCAATAAATATTTTTAGAAATTTACAAATAAAACCTACCCTATAAAAAATCAACCCAAGACAACCGTGTGTATATGAATAGTAATATCATCGTTGATGAACCCAATATAAACCAGTGTAGAAATGGCGAGAAAGTGTTAATCCATGTTAATCCATGTTAATCCATGTCATTGAATCCAGAGATGATCATAGTACAATACGTACTAAGCATGGAAATGGTGGGATCGGTTGGTCTTCCTCCCGACCTCCATCTTATGTGAATCCATTTCATTGATTTCAGGGATAATTCCTATACAATGCATACTAAGTATGGGGAATGGTGTGTTCGATTGGTCGAATCTCCCCCTTCCCCAACCCAATCTTATGCTTGCCAAACCCCAAATATCAATCCACTGCCAGGGCAGCTTGTCTGGAACTTGGTGTTTCAAAGTCCAATACTGTCACATATGAGAAAAGTCACTGAACTGGAGATAAGGTATTTCAAACCTACCGCAAAAATCTGTGTATAATAAAAAAAAAATTAATAGTACATGAGTCAAATTTGTTATTTTAATGACCATTGTGGCCTATTTTTAATAAGCTAGTTTTAGGTTTAAATATGGAAGATAATAAACTATACGTAAACCACTTAACAAGAACTAAGGGAACGTTTTAAAACAGATTTTTTCTGAGCACGATAGTAATAATTCATTAAACTACGTAATTTTGAAACATGCTTAGAAGAGTGTTTCAATAATTATTTAGTTTAATAGATATATCATCTTATATAGAGATTCTATTCTTTAGTCATGGCACCTGTAAATTCAACTGATAAATATAGACACTTATTGACCAAGTTTGAGACTTTAAATCTTATGTCCATTCTAAGAGGCAGTATCCTTTAAAACAGCATCAGGGAACGGTATATTTTACTGGATTGAAGGTGCTCTTCATATGAATTATGATATTATTTATTAGCTATCCTAATCATGGACTATATCAACAGTGTGTCCGAAAGGAGCTGCCTTTTAGTGACTCAACTACCACAGGGTCTGGTTGAACCGAATCCAAGGGCCCCCAGCCCTAAGGGGGCCCCACCCCGGAAAAACGCAGAGCATAATATGTTGAAGTAAATTCACGGGGGAGGGGCCTCAACCCACTGAAGTCCACGCACCCCTACTGATCTAGTTGAGCCACTTCTCCCATTTCCTTCTTCATTTGGTGGGGGTGGGGATAAAAAAAAATAAAATGAAAGTAGAGTTTGATTTTTAATGAAAACATGGATGTGATTCTAGAAACTTTCCAAAAGACAACCCCGGTATGTCTTTAGTGACGCTTTGAGCGAGTAAAATATAATAATAATAATAATAGTTTCTGTATACACGATAAATACCCAATATATACACAAATAATATAGTCCTTTAGGTTCAATAGAGTTCTTAGAATCTGTCACAGCACAGTTAGCTACCGTTCTTATAAATCGAATTTTAGAAATTCTTTAAGTAGCGAGAGTTGTTGTTCTTTGCAATTCAAATTGTCTAGTTCAGAATTATCGCTCTTTAAGATTAATCACTGCACAGTTATCGTTCTTTGCTATTCGCAGGCTATCAAGAGTTACCGTTCTTAAATCCAAATGTCATCACAGAGTTATTATTCTTGTCCATTTCAAATTTGGACAACTTAGTTTATCGCCCTTGATGACGATTAAAATTCATGGAGCAATTTAAATTTCAAAAATTCAAAATGTCAAAACAGAGTTACCGTTCATGGTAATGAAAATTGTCACAAGAGAATTATCTTGACTTCACAAAGGTAATTCAAAATAACTTGTCATAGGTTATCACTTAATGCATAATATCATTCTGAAGCAACAGAACAACAATCTTCAATCAGTCACAGCTTCATTTCATATTAGAAAGATAATTCTTAAAAAAAAACTTATTCACACAAAAACACGGTTGGTAAGAGCAAACACGGTAATTCAGTCTGTTATGTCTGATGTGTACGCGTGCTTTTGCCTAGTTTTAGCATTGTACTTTGACCTGGTTTAAACCTTGTACGTGTTTCGGCCTGGTTTTGGATTTACACGTGCTTTGACCTTGTTTTGGATTTACGCGTGCTTTGGCCTGGATAGTTTAGATTGCCAAGAGTTAACTATTTCTAACGAAATCGTGTAGACTCTCTGCAATGTTTCCCACGAATCTCAATACTGCCACACCCCCCCTTTAACACGGGGGTCACTTTCATCACAAGAACTTTCAAATATTTCCATTGGATTTTATAAATAAGGGACTATGAACATCACACAATATTACTTTGAGGCATCAAGGGCCGTAACTCAGCACTGTTATACACATTTAGCGCTGGGAGAACATCATGGCGTCCCAAGTTTTTCATGGCCTGTATGAGAATACCGACTGTGGCCGCCTCGTTTCGACTCCATTCAGTCAGTAATTGTTTTAAAGGAGTTGTTGAGTCCCTCTGAGATTTCAGTTCACAGTTGGCTATTTTCTTTGTGGAAAAACCTGGAATAAAAAAGACGTTAGATTTTGATTAATGGTTAGGACTTATGTAAAGGCATCANAGTTCAAAGTTTTGGCTAGTTTCAAAGTTGGCTAGTTT